CAGAAAATAAAATAAAACAGAATAAACTTCAAAAGCAAAAAAAAAATCTGGCACAAAATATGAACAAAACTTTGTCAAGCCCTTAAACACCTAAAAGTATGCTATATTGCGCTGCTATTGATGGCTTATTGTTTCTTGGCGACTGCAAGTGCCCAGCGAATGAATGAGCGTGCCAGCGCCTGCTCCTAAAACTTTTCTAATCTTGTTTACCGAACTCATAAAACTACAACACTACCAAATGAAGTAAAATAAAAGTGGAACAACAACAATAACAATTACAAGGCAAGCAAATATGAATTGAAAAAACTTTTCACATTTACATGCATATTTATTTATGAGTGAAAATGTCTTGACTTCAACTTCATCTTCTTCGTCTATATATATGTATATAGACATGTAATTACAGTCATCAAATGGGTCAACAAATTACAGAGGATAAGCGTGATTGTCAAATGAGTGCGACATCTAGCGAGGATTTTTTTTTGCTAAAGCATGCGTAAAGCTATTTGGAATATGAAGCGAGGAGTGAAGGGAAGAGGAGTAGAAAATTGTGTGTTGATGAAAATTTGTACGTGTATATAATAGAGATTTGCTATATAATTTGAAAAATGAATAACTGTCATATCAGTAATAATACTTTAAGCTTACAAATTCTTATAACAAAAAAACCGACGTTAACGAAATAAAAATTTAAAAATTGAGTTTGTCTTAGTGGAAGTTTAGGGAAACTATATTTTTAATAAATTAAAAACTTTAGCTTACGAAACGATATATTTCAGAACAAATATGCAAAACCTAAGTGAATAGATTTTCGTTTATGTTTTTATTTTTGTACGTGACAAAAATTTCAATCAAGCTATTGATATCTCAAAAACCTATATTGCAATATCAGGTATATGTCTCCGCTTAGATACTCCTAATTGCAGGCAATACTATTATTTTATTGTGAAAATGCACTAAAAAACATTGCATACATTTGGGCTGATTTTCGGTATTTATATCGAATGAAAATAACGTGATGTACTGCTGACAAAAGAGCAGACAGTGTTTCGCTATTTCTTTTTTTATGTTTCAAATATATCATTGATATATCCCTTGGTATGCTCGAGTGAGCAATAAATATATTAAGCCACAAACTATATAAGGAAATTTTCCAATTCACACTCCCAGCCGTCCACACCAATTACTGTTCTTCGTGTGCATTAAATTTCTCAAGAATTATGTCCCAATGCAACCAATCACCTACTGTTTTTGAATTTGTTGTTGCTTTTAGTGATGCTGTCTTAAATTGGGACCAGAACATTCACGTGAGTTTCGCTGACAATTAGTTGCTGTTGTTTTTGTTGTTGTACATAATTGGCATTTGAATGCCTGCCAGACAATGACTGCTCGCACGCGTGCGCTGCAAATTTAATTTATGACCAAAGCTGAGCGACAATGCATACAAAAGCTAAAGTTTACGCTAGCATAATGAAATGTGCGCCTGTCAGTTGCGTATATGTGAAATTGCATATGCTCCAAGGGCTGTTCATGTCAGCGCTAATACCGCAGCCCAGTGGTTAACATGGCGAACTGCCTTTCGGTATACCCGGGTTCAAATTCTGGTACGAATAATATGTAAAAGATTTAGAAAATTAACTTAAATAAAAAGTTAAGTTAAATTTTCTAGATGCGTTCGCCCTTCAGCAGGGAATGTCCACCCATCCGAGTGTATTTCGGCCATGAAATTTCGAAGGTGGCTTATTGTAAACAGACCTATAGAGACCACTTGTTGGAGAAACATCAAGACGCAAAACTACATATTTATGAAGAAGCTCGGTCGAAAATCGCTTAAGTGGTTACAAAGCGCCAAATATATTTATATAAAGGAGTATATAACAGCGCACACCTCCGCCAAAGGTTGGTTGTGACAAGAGCAACAAGGCTGAACTATTTCAGCTAATCAATTTATCGCAGCCGAAACTATTTTGTACCAAAAGGCATGTGAGTACATACGTAAATATATGTGTGAACAAACATGCTCGTAGGTTAATATATCAAACCAATTTACTATGAAGTTTTTCTTACTTCAATCTTAGTAATGCTAAAAATTTCATAATTTTGATTTAATTATCATTTCATTTTTTTTAAATTTTTCATATGACCCAAAAATAACGTTAATTATATTTTTTTGATTTATTTAAAAAACGAAAAATCTATTTTGCTCAAAAATTGACTAGTCTTATTTTAGTCCATTACGAACTAATTTGAAATTGACATATTTCTGGGTGTAAACTGTCAATTGCTGTCCGATAGCATATCTACATATTAAAATTACCGATTGTATGTATGACAGAAAAAACAAGTTGTCTGACTAGTTAGTTGATCGTAGGCGTACTAGTTTGAAAGTAGTTTTAACCAGTTTATTTGTCTGTGGTGCTTATACACTGACATATTTGTATGTGTAGGTAAATATTTGACACGCCTACGGATGCAGTTTGTTGCATTTACCACAGAACACCGCCAAATCTGTCAAAGGGTAAATGCCCAGCAGAACTTTATGATTCAATTATTTCAATCAAATTTCAGAAAAGCACGTAGGACTTCGTCCCTTTTGAATTTTCTAGCAGTTAACGGTATATGTTGGAGAAGTTCTAACTTTGGAATATATTTATTTTGTTTGAATAACCATTTAGGTGAAATTTCAGAAATTCAACTAAATTTGATGAAATTCCATTTTTATTAAGTCAAATCGAGAGAGAATTTCCTATCGAAACTTAGAATACAAGCTACATGGATTTAACTTTAAACTTCTCAAGAGCAGATTTTCTTCAATTTAGTTCCATTCTTGAGCTCTTGAGTTACAAATTAAACAATAGCTCCACCATAATTAACTGGAAGATGAATATTGCATAATAGAAACAATAAAAAATCTAATCTAGTCAAATTCAACCGATCACCCTAAAACGTGCCTGTATCCTATATATATATATAGAATTTCAACGAGTTCTGCTGTCAGACGAACTGTTGGAACCAAAAACGATTTGGACATTTCAACTCATAAAACCTGTAAGAAAGCCAAACTATTTCACCCTCATTTCCTTTCGAACATAATGAGGTTCTTCTCATAATTTTGCTCCCACCAGAATTGGGAGTGTGTGTTAATCCATCCAGGGGGCATGACTTAGCCTAGCTAGCTGATGTCCCAGGTTTGGGAAATTTTGATAGAAATAAATATAACAAAGATACATAAATACTTTCTGAAGTAGAATTAGGAAAAAAGAAATCATATTAATAACCAAACCGAATGCAATTAATATGCAATGGAAAACCACTTGCTCACGAGAACACACATTGACTTGCATAAACACGTCTCATAATAGCGAAAATCACGGCACTCAATCAATAGATTTTCAGCGGAAATGATTTCGCTGAAATTATGCATGCTGGTATTTCGTGCAATTTAACGAGAGGCGAGGCACTCCTGCATTATGCATACTTACATACAAGCATACAAACATGCATACACGCATGTGCAAGCAGTCATATTTTTACATATAAATATATGTATATAAATATATAATATGTACTTGAATTAGCCAAGCAATTGTAATGCAAACTGCACGAGCAAATTTCGTATTTAATTATTTGCGCGTGTGTGTATGTGTGTGCTAGTAAAATGGCATTTATCGGCGCTTACACACATATGTATTTACACACTGGGCCAAGCAAACCTCGCAAGGCATGTGCTTATTTGATTGTTGATTTTCATATTATTATATATAATTAACTGCTGATCGTATGCGTAAGCACATTTATATGCAGATATATGCATAAGTGCGTATGTTTATGTAGTATACACAGACACATATAGCTTACAATGGCCAACAAATGTCCTTAAAGCTTATTGGGTTCCGCATGATTTTGAACATTTGATAGCCTGCCATACTGAAATATAATCCCGTTTTAGGCATTTCGGTAGCTTACGTTATTTTTTACCTATCCAACAAAAATCACGATATACTGGGTCACTTCGAACTAAGTATTTTCTATCGATTATTCAGAGTCAATCATTTGCAGACTTTGCTTGCTAACATTCAAATATGCACTCCGTTGATACTTCACACCGGACACAGTAATAGTAGCATATCTTCCGACTTCAGTCGTCCTTTTCCTCAGCTCCCATTCGTCCTGCTCTCTATTAGCTTTTAACTTTTTCTCTCATTTCGCATTTCTGTTTCCTCTCTGTTCTTTATCTTTTCATTCTGTTTGCACCTAGCAGCTCCGGCATAGACTTGACATTCTCCTCCTTTCCCCATTCCTACCTTTCTCTAAAGCAGGAACGTCATACGGTCTGATGCCAACTGATACTTGTATGTATGTGTTCTTTTAATGCAAGTTTTTAATTCCAAGCCACCAGATTATTAATGTTATTTTGTAGTCACTGAACGTTAGGTTGAAGAGAATATAGCGTCGCTTCTGCTCATCAGTCTTCAATCCCTCGCTTTAAAGTCTTCACTGGTTGTCTGGAATTGAAGAGCACACACGTGTTGCTAACTAACTAAGAGTTTGGGGGTGAACTTGTTGACCTTGGAATGTCGGTTAGAAGTCAGTAAAAACCCAGTAATGGGATTGTTCAGTCTTGATTATATTTCCCGATAATAATCTACCCATGTCTTGAGGAGAGTCATATATGTATATTGTACATATGTTTATACGCTTTAACAAGCCAGCAGCCATATACTTAGCTACGCGGTTTTTATCCAGTTTTTAATCAGCATTATGAGTTCCTCAGCAGACCGCAAAATTTCCAGCCATGAACTGCGAATAAGGAAATGAAATTGAACTCAACATTCGTGGCCTGAAAGAAGCGCTTACAAGTATAGGGCATCTGAGTGGCACAGCTGTTTGCGAGTATTTTTCCCTACCAACATGCAAGTCGTCTACTCTTACATAAGAATATTGTTTACCATCCATCATTCACAAGAATGGAGTAATGTTTTAAATGAAAAATTGGTGAGTTTCACGTTTTTGGAATGCTCGGGTTACAATACTTTATATTTGAGTGTTAGTAATAGATAAGTTTATGTGCGCACAAAACTTAATCGAAAAATATGATACATTTTTAATATCACGAATTCATTAATAATGTGTACATTTGAGCCCAGGGAATTGTTGAGCACCTTATCAGCATTATTAGTAATTTCATAATATTCTCTGTCCATTAACGTTTGTCTGCTATTTGCTAAGTTTTTCAATAACATTTAGCGACAGTTCGTCACCTCGCGACGAGGACGGCAAGACTCTAACTCACGATCGAACCATGAGCCTCTCGGGCAATTCAATCTCACCACTTGTCCATAGAGGCACACATAGAAACGACTGCAACGGCGACGATCTACAAGGTAAGTGCCATCGGGCAAGGCTTCACAATCTCTGGACGAAGTCATCACGCGTATAATGCGATCGGTGCTGTCGTATTCATTGTAATTGTCGTAACTGTTGTAATTATCGTAACCATAATAACGGTCATCGTAGTATACTAAGTTTGCTGGGCAGGGAGTGGGCGTGCATGGTGTTGTTGTGCAGGTTGTCGGGGTCGGTGTACATGGTGTTGTTGTGCAGGTTGTCGGGGTCGGTGTGCATGGTGTTGTTGTGCAGGTTGTCGGTGTCGGTGTGCATGTTGTTGTTGTGCAGGTTGTCGGTGTCGGTGTGCATGTTGTTGTTGTGCAGGTTGTTGGTGTCGGTGTACATGGTGTTGTTGTGCAGGTTGTCGGTGTCGGTGTACATGGTGTTGTTGTGCACGTTGTCGGTGTCGGTGTGCATGTTGTTGTTGTGCACGTTGTTGGTGTCGGTGTACATGTTGTTGTTGTTGTTGTACAGGTTGTTGGTGCCGGTGTATTCTGTTTGCAAGTACATGGTGTTGTCGTAGGCTCGGTTGCGCATGTTGTAGTTGTACAGGTTGTTGGTGTCGGTGTGCATGGTGTTGTTGTGCAGGTTGTTGGTGTCGGTGTACATGTTGTTGTTGTTGTTGTACAGGTTGTTGGTGCCGGTGTATCCTGTTTGCAAGTGCATGGTGTTGTCGGAGGCTCGGTTGCGCATGTTGTTGTTGTTGGTGCCTTTGTTGTGGTTGTTTTTGTTGTAGTTGTTTTAGTAGTAGTTGCCTTAGTGGTTGTTGGTGCACAAGTTGTCGTTGTTGATGCACAAGTTGTTGGTGCTGGTGTATCCTGTTTGCAAGTGCATGGTGTTGTCGGAGACTCGGTCGCGCATGTTGTTGTTGTCGTTGTAGGTGCTTTTGTTGTAGTTGTTTTTGTTGTAGTTGTTTTTGTTGTAGTTGTTTTTGTTGTTGTTGCTGGGGCACAAGTTGTTGTCGTGCATGTTGTTGGTGCCGGTGTATCCTGTTTGCAAGCGCATGGTGTTGTCGGAGACTCGGTTGCGCATGTGGTTGTTTTTGTTGTAGTTGTTTTTGTTGTAGTTGTTTTTGTTGTAGTTGTTTTTGTTGTAGTTGTTTTTGTTGTAGTTGTTTTAGTAGTGGTTACCTTCGTTGTTGTCTCTGGTGTACATGTTGTTGCTGTTGTACAGGTTGTCGATGTTGGCGCACAAATTGTTGTCGTACAAGGTGGTGGAGTTGTTGTACAAGGTGGTGGAGTTGTCGTACAAGGTGGTGGGGTTGTTGTACAAGGTGGTGGGGTTGTTGTACAAGGTGGTGGAGTTGTCGTACAAGGTGGTGGGGTTGTTGTACAAGGTGGTGGTGCTCTTGTACAAGGTGGTGATGCTTCTATAAAAGGTCGTGGCGGTGGTGGTGGTAGTCGTGGTATGTTGTCCCAATTCCTCCTACTGCAGTCAGAAAGCTCGGGACGGGTACACACCCCCGATATGGAATCGAATAACAATCCCCGACGACAGTTACGTAACTTAGCTCTTCCTCGCCTACAAACATAATACCGATTGCAATTGTTATCGTCCGGAAAGGCTTCACCATTTCTATAGAGTTGACAATCTGGTTGTTGGGCGAATGCTTGCGGTGTCACAGCAAAAACTAGCAGCAGCAAATAAACTATGGAGTCAGAGATCAAATTGATTAATTTGTTCTTACATTTGTATATATATATATATATATATATATATATATTGTATATTGTATATATATATAAGGAAAACTACAATTGTACTTACTCGAACGCATCCTTGCACTACTCTATTTGCGGGATCGTATACTTGGAAATAAACTCTTGCACTGTGCTTGAAAGCTTTGGCGCAGAAGCTTTTATACGCCTCAGCAATTAGCTGCAGAGCCACTAATTAATATTCATTACATGGAAAACCGTCTGCGAACTACTTCAGATTTCCTGTTCCGTGTGTGTAAAGGGCATATTCTTGACAAGCAAATCTTTTTTTTTTCGCTGCTTGCCTACAAACTATTTACATCTCAACTAATTACTAAAAAGCCGATAAGAGTTCTTCTCACAACATTTTAGATAAAAAACGGCTCTATCTACCAGACTAAATACAAATTTGTGTATATTATTGTTGTATATCGCTAATATAAGACAAGAAAAATATCAAATTATAAAGTAAGTTTAAATAAATAAAAATTAATATAAATGTTAGGAAAGAAGAGGGGTTAGGTGAGTTGCTCTATTGACTTCTAGTAGGCGTCTCGAAAAGTACTCATCGTGCGTCTGATTTAACCTTAGATATACTTCGGGTTTTATGCACAAAAGGGAAATTTAATTGCGGATTTGTATTGACAGATGTGCGGATTCCAATCTTGATGCCGCCCTCACAATCTGAACCCCTCAAAGAGAAAGAAGAAAATCAGAACAACTTTTAACTACGACATAATAAATATTGAGAGCAACGTTTAGTGGTGGCCTTATGAACGTTATCTGGACACCGTCTTTAAATAAATCTGTACATATTGGATTTTTCTAGACGTCGCAGGCATCGCCCCAGGATCTCCGCAACTTCAAAACAGCATTGCACGTTACCAAGCACTTGAAGACACTGAGCGATTTCGGCCGGAGAATGGTTGTAATGAGAGATGAGTCAATGTTCACTGGTCAAGCAGAGAGAAGTGCTCGTGTTGGGTATAGACCAGGCGTTCTAATCAAGGCTCACATTCTCTTCTCTTCCATTCAATTCCGCGTTGAGTCACGTCTTGACTAAACTCCCACGTGAAGATATTTCTTACAAAGATGTTCGCAGTTCTTGCATAATTAAAAGATTTTATTTTAAATTTATAAAAAAAAAATGATTAGTACCGTAGGCGAAAAAGAGTAAAATGAGCTGAGAGTAGAAAAAAATTAAAATAATAAAATTTAATTTCAATAAAAAATGAAAAATTTTCAAATATAAAAAACTCTTTTCCGGCAATAAAAGTGGCCGCAGCTGGCATTTGTGCAAATGTTATGCGCAAAATCAATAAATGTACAGAAATGCCAATAATTTTAATCCAGGCTTTCGGACACCCATATGTTGCCTTTTGTGAAGAGTGCAGAAACATACATACATATATGTATATATTATTATTTAAATTATGCACAATGGAAAATTGATACGATTCTCGAATGCTTTCGATACACTGCACCACTACATATATTAAAATCGATATTTATCGATAATTCAATTTACGAAAAAAAATCTACTCAATCTTTTCAAGCAAAGCGAACCAACTATCAAACAGTAACTATATAACTGTTTAACTCCCATTTAATAATTGTTCTCCCTTCTGAGTTTTCTGGCATATATATATCCATCAACATTTGAAATGTATCTGCAAATCAAAAACGCAGTTTTCAAGAGTCACATGCATACATATGTATATGTTTAAATACTGAGTTGAAACTTTGTGGAAACTAAACATTTATTCAATCATAAATATATTTATACATATATAACAATAAATCATTTACTTACGAAATTCGGCTTGCTTGCAGGCAGGCAGATTATAAATTCAAATAAATATATATACCTATATGTATGTATAGTTTTACAATATAAATGCTACTCCACCACATGCTTTGCTCAGTTTCCGCCCATTTTCCATATCCGTTACGTTTGGAAATTTGCAAAAATAAAAAAATTAATTAATTAAAAGAAGCTGCTTGAAAATAAAATGCTCTGATATACATACATAATATATTTGTGATTATATATATATATATGTACATCCAAAATAGAGATTATTATACTTTTGCTGACAGCAAAGCTCAAATTACTGTTAGAGACCAACAATGAATACATATATACAAGTATACGCACATACATACAGACGTTAGTATAATCTGGGAGAAATAATTCAATTGTTATTTAGCTAAAACTTCAGTAAGAACCTTGCAGAAGTGCGTTGAACAAGTGAGTTGTTCAAGTTTAGTTGAGCATGTCAGAAATATCAAAGACAAATTGGTTGAATTCACACACTTATGAGAGTTGATAACATTAAGTCACAATTTATTTATAATTTTATTTTATTATTTTTTTAATTTATTACATAATTTTCAACCCAAAAATGAAATAAATAAATAAAAGACAAATTAACTTACTCTTGCTGAAACACACGTCTTTGATTACTGTCCTGAAGGCAGCACGTTTAAAACATACATACATATTACATATGTCCATAAATGGGTGTATGTTTTAAAGAAATTTCATATTTTTTTTCAACTATTCATAAAAGCATGACATACAATACAGTCGTAAGTATATTTCCTGAAATATTCAATTTCAGAATAATATGCTAACATTAAAATACAACAGAAGACGATATTTGTATACATATACAGTATATGAATTGTATGTTAAATATGTAGGTAGCATTTTTAGTAAAATTTTCACTTGACGATAGAATTGGTTGCAGCACATAAGAATACACAGATACCCTCCCTAATGAAAAGCTGAAGCTTGCTAGTGAAGTAAAATACTGTTATTTTGTAGACTAATTCATACCAGTTCACTTTTTGCAGGGAAATATACAACAGAGCTAAAAAATGACAATTTTCACTGTTACATTTTACTTTCTCCCACACTCTGATATCCTTATTTGCCATACTATTAATACAGACGAATATTTCTAATCAGAAGTTGGTCAATGTGTGTCTGGCTTAGTAGAAGTTCAAAATGCATAAACTAGTATTTAGCTAGTATGTAGTTGATGCATAGTCAGTTAATTGACTTTTTGGCATTTCATTAGTTAAATATGCCATGAGCTAAAGTCAGAAACATTTGGAAGATAAAGTTATTAATGGAAAACGCAAACTACTTCTATACGACCTAAAGTTGTATATTTTCTTGCTAAAAAAAATAGCAAAATTTGCTGACGGCTTTTCAGCTTCTTTCTGCTCGCTTATATCGGTGCAATGCGTTGGTAAGTATCAGTCTGGCAATATTTTATTTTTGTTTGTGTGTATTTTTTGTTTGCTCAGAGCAAGATGTAACTGAATATATAATATGTTAGTTTCTTGTCTTGCAAAAGATACTCAAGATACTGAAGTAGCAAGTAAATGCCGGAAGCGTGTCGTATAACATACCTGCAAGTCACATGCGTAGATGATAAAAAGAGAGTTGCAAGAGTAGATGAGTAAGTGAATTGTAAGACAATTCTTTTTTACATATGTGCCAAAGTAAATGCTTTTAAATTATTCTTTGTTTGTTAACGAATTTCAATTTCTTTGAACAAATGACAAAAACTTTCAAAATTTGTCTGTAAAAACGATTGATACTTTTCATTGCATATTTTTAGGCAATTAACTCTTTTCACAAAACAAATGCAAAACTTTTCGTTTGATTTGAACAGTTTACTCATCGTTTGATATGTGATGGGGTACAGCAGTTAGGAGTATTTGTGAGGAGATTTGCATATTACACTTAAATTAAGCTTATGAGTCAAATATAAATGTTGAGAAGTTATAAAAATAAGTTGGAATGAAAACAATTTCCATAGAGTTTACCTAATAAAATATGGAAAAAGTGGTAGGTTAGCTTTCATATAGAAATTATTTCATTTTACTAAATTTAAACATTTGTTAATTTCTTTTCTTTATTTTCATTGTTAAAAATGCGGACTACAAATAGCCATAAAACTAGAAAAATAAATTTATTAAAACAATAAAGTTACATAACGACATACAGTTTAATTTATACACATTTGTTGCTGCGTGCATACTAATTTATCCAAAGCTATATTGCATACGAGTACATACAAACATACATCGAATCAATTCACATTTGTTTTCACTTAATTTACATTACAAAATTTTCTTATTTTAGTTGATTACTATTTTCTTTATGCAAAATATACATGCATTGTATATACATACATACCTGGATTTATGTATGAATACTTGTAAACTAGCTTAAACAATGTCAAATTACTAACAACTCAATTAAAAATGATTGTTTTGTTAAAGTATGTAAATGTTTTAGAAACTCATGAAATATGGCAACCTCAAAAAGGGAAATAAATTATACGCTCTCAGAAACAATTCAAAATTGTTTTCATACGTTGTCATGAGTGGTGATGGCCGGAGTATATTGAATTTATAGAGGAAAAACTTCTTCAGCCTCTTGAGTGGCAGTGAAAGTGCAAATCCAGGAGATGTCGAACCCCGATTCCACAGTCGATGACGATGAAACAGACTATAAATCGAATAGGAATCGCCCGCTTCGGAAGCAAAAAATCGGCAGGGGCTGACGGATTGCCGGTCGATCTATTAAAATTCGCAGCAAAGAACTGATGTGGTGCATGCATGCTTCTTCTCTACAGAAAGCATACCCGACGATTGGAACCCCAGGGTGCACCATCACATCCATAAAAAAGGGTCCGTAGAGGGTCGTGGGAGTAGCCGTGGGACTAGTCGCTTAAATATCGCATATAAGGATCTGAGAAGCGTGTTTTGTGAAAGACCAAAGCCCACCAAACTTGTCAGTATTGCTTTAGACATGGTAAATTCATCACTGGTCATGGTATTCACCTCTTCGTCGATTTGAAGTAGCCTTCGACAACACAAAAAGGAACTGTCTCTACGCCGCTACGTCTGAGTTTGGTATCCCCACAAAAGTTGTACGGATATGTAAACTCACAATAAGCAACATTAAAAGTGCTGTCAGGTTTGGGAGGACCTCTTCGAGGCATTCTATACTATCGTGTGACTTTTTTTGCTTATTGCTGGAGAAAATAATGGGAGGTACGGAACTGAATAGAGAAGATACAATCTCTCTGGGTCTGGTCAAGACGAAATAT